CCACGATAAATATGATTAAATAAATAAAGCCAAATAATTACCCGGACAAATAGACCCAATGACCGTGGTCAACTTTTTTACTACCATGTTTCCGGCCGACCTACACTGAAAGCGATGATGCTTGGCATAAGGCTGACATGGGGATGTTTGAGCATGAAGGATTGAACGCCACTACATCTGGTCCACCTGTGAAACCTACAATCGGTATCCTACTCGTACAAGTTTTGGGGGAATTAGGGTACAACTCAAAGTGTAGATAAGTGTGATCAGTCCCCATAAGAGTTTTATACCAGTTGAATGATTTACGTGTAACAAAAACTTGTTGGAGCTATAACCCACCTTTTCTACCCACTATCTGGATAACAAAGGAAGATATCTCCTGAAGGTCTCATTCCCAAAGGCAGACTGAACAGTATTCTTACATACCCGACGGATAATAGATCTGACTTTGAGGCTCACGTTCAATATGCATAAATCATGGATCTATTCCCTACTGTAATGACCAATATGCACCATTTGGAGAAAACACAAGTTCACAGAAATCCAGTGATGCAGCTCATTTCTCCATCGGGCAATCCTGCTATTTTACGATTCTGAATAGAAGTTGAGCGCAGATAAGAAATGAACATGTTTCACTTCGCATAAAACTCCTGTTTCAGCTGAGCCCCTTCTCGTTTGGACGATTAGGGCTATCCTACCAGAAATTTCTCAGGAACCCCTTTTTATGTCGCAAATGGCACTTTGTTGTACAAGTGTGATTGGTTACATAAAAACTTCGCCACTTTTATAGATACTATTACCTGTCCCATTGATGGCGGCATTAGAAAAACCCACCCCTAATCTGGCTTCTCTCGTCACATCAGGACAAAAAAGTATCAATGTATTGAGTATAGACTGGACAGTAAAGTCTAATCTGCTCCGCATAAGGGTAGAAGTTCTGTTTTGTCAGGTCGATTACTAGGACTGAAAAAACGAGCACTGTCCATCCTGAGCCATTTCTTACAAACCCTTCATGACTTCTCTAACAAATACTTCAGGAGGATCTTGCAACTTCTCCAGGAATCTAATCATCCCACTGCTCTCTATCGACTCTTACGTCTGGCAATGCTCCAGTTTGTAAACTATATGATTAGGAGCTTCGGCATTTAGGCTGCTCAGTCAGCCATTTGGGAAAGAAAAGTAATGAAAATAGCTGAGTGCTTATGTTTTGAGGGTATTCTAGAAAAAATAACTATCACTCGGTTCCCACGTTTGCGGTGACTCTCACTGCTTACTCTGCTCCTGTTCAATTTCTATATTCTATACCCCTACCGAATAGTTGTCTCTTGAAGCAATCGCTGAACTGATCCTATAAGGCAAGTCCCTGGTCGAACAGTACTGAGTAGAGGGAATACGATGCTCCTGAGTTCCAACCAAAGCAAAAGAAGTATTCGACTGTTTGTCGGAATTCCACTCTCTCGGGTCAGATTATATCATATTCTCTGAGGGCACTGGAGGGTGGGCTATCACAGGCGGAATTTGATTCACAAAGGAAATTGCTCGATGAGGAGACTTCTAAAAACGTGGACACGGAGACGACCATACTCCCAGTGAACCAGTAATATATTGGAGGGCCAGTCCACCTCATACATACGACAAAATGTATCTTGTTTTCTTCGAAGAGCCTGACAGCAGTTTCTCAATTGGAACTAATTGCCTAGTTTCTTTTGGTTGTAGACGAAGATTAATATACTTCGGTTCCACTATGATTCACGAAATGAGCCAATAGTTCCTTACGAAAAAATCGTTTCGGCAAAGCTCTTCAAAACTTTGTATAGTCCAATTCAATTCTTCCCGTACAAGTCGTTCATCGGAAGTCGTCGTATACGACCGTTGAAATAGTTTTTTCCAAAGGCACCTAAACTTGCTTTGAATTTTGCAGTGAATTCATTTCAAGGTCTCAATTTTTGGAAACTGTCTGGACCGAGCAAGACGTCAGACAATAGCGAGATAAGGGGGGTTGTTTATGCTCAGGCAAATGTTACTGGTTCAAATCTTCGATCAATAACCTCTATCTGGTTTTCTTTTGAGGTTGTTTGCACTTCGTTTACATCGAACAAAGAGGGATGGTGATAGGACGAGTAGTATCAACGGGTTTTTCATTGAATGGTTAATGGGCATCATTCCGACAATGGAAACACTGGGGAAAACATTAAAGCACATAAACCAACAAAGCATCGCTTATAATTACTGCTGCAATAAAGGCATGATAAACGGCAACATTTACTTCCGACAGTGCAACACAACACATTGGTCTCAACTACCGTAGTGCCAAAAGAACGATCTCAATTACCGTACACTCAATACAATGGTCTCCATTACAGTACTGCCAGTACTGCGTAGGCCGTCAGTACAGTAACAACAGAGAGGCTGCTGCAAAACTTTTGAATCTGTACATACATAGTTCCATAAGCACTTTGTCTCCCAAAAAGCTCCCCACACGGGTCATTTAATGGCAATATGTAGTTTCTGAGGCATAATATAATAGAAGCCTTACAAAAACAACTGCACAGGAACATCACATATAAATGACTCCTTTTACTAACAAAATACAAAATGAATAAGGAGAACAAGGCTTCTACGCAATGAAATTTGTCTATAAGCCTCAAATAAGTTCAACCATATGGAGGATGTTAAGAATACTGAAGGAAGAAATTGGTCTGAACCGAAAATCAGGGTTTGGGGCAAGCCGAGTAGGTCAGAATCATGAATTGCGATTAGATGATCCCCAATTTAAAGCTTTCCTCAAGGTTTTCCATGTAAAGACCTCAGTTAGATTCTACTCTCTCTTTTATGTCAGTCCTGTCTGAGTTTATTTGATGCATCCGGTAGGCTTTACCGCTGGTGGCATCACCTATCTGCCACCAGAATCTACTTGTACTGTAACTCATACTTTCAATATCAAATTTTCTTCCCATTTGAGATCATTGCTGACTATGTAGTAGAAGCCTTCAATCTCAGACGATCTGTTTTTTTGGTTTATCTCTTTACAGCCTTGCCACTTCCTGTCACCAATCACTAACGGTATCTGTATGGGTGCAGCTGCACACTTTATAGCCGAATCTTCAGATAAACTTTGCTTTGGTTTATGTTTTTGGACGAAAAAACCGTTTCTGTATCAAGTGTAACAGTTTCTATCACTGGAAAAAGGTTTTGAGTACGAGCAGGGGAAAAAGTCACAAAGGAATGGGCGCCACTGTTAGTGCAGTGCAACCTCTTCGCCGCCCGGCTATATAAGGCTGGCCGGCTGCAAAGGAAACCAGTCGTAGCGGCTGTGAGCCTGCTAGCTAGCTGAGGACATTACCTCTGCTCACCTTGCAATGGATACATTGCAGTGCCAACGCTTGACAGCCTATCGCTTCGTTGCCTATTCGGCGGTCACCTTCTCGGTGATTGCTGTTCTATCCATCTGTATTACTTTGCCGATGGTCTACAATTACATCCATAGTGTGAAGCGATCTATGCATCATGAGATCAACTTCTGCAGGGTAAGCTTATCTTGAGAACGTTTTTACATTTCACTGGAATATGCTACACTAGTTAGCCCCCATCTCAAAAAACTACTCTTCAGAAATCGGTCAAAGANATCTGGGGTGAAGTGAACTACATCAACACTGCCCAGCCGTCAAATCGTACTGCACGTCAAGTGGAACCCAATTGTGAGGGATGCTGCCTCCAGGGACCGTCTGGACCACAAGGCCTGCCCGGCAAACCTGGCCGCCCGGGTCTCCCAGGTATACCCGGATTGCCCGGTGCTCCAGGACGACCACCGATGGTTCCCTGTACACCGGTTACACCGCCACCATGTCAGCCATGCCCTCAAGGGCCTCCTGGCATGCGAGGAAATCCAGGACCACCTGGACCACAAGGCGAGCCAGGTCGTCCAGCAGTCAGCTATGGCGAACCGAAAATGGGACCTCCTGGACCAAAAGGACCACCTGGAATACAGGGCAATCCCGGAGCACCAGGAGCTCCTGGTGAGCCTGGTATCGATGCAACATCTTCTATGGGTGTCGCTGGACCTCCAGGTCCACCAGGACCTCCAGGTCTTCCCGGATTACCTGGACCAAACGGAGTGCCTGGATTTGTCGGACTATTGGGTAAGTTCTTAACAATACCAATCAGTACTCTCGAATCAGATTGAAGTACTTATTTTCCAGGTGAGCAAGGACCAAGAGGACCACCAGGACAACCCGGTCTACCTGGACCTGCTGGTAACCCTGGCGCACCGGGTGAGCCTGGAGTCTCTGGACATCCTGGTGAACGTGGTATTTGTCCGAAGTACTGCGCCATCGACGGAGGTGTATTCTTCGAAGATGGCACACTTCGCCGCCGTTAAAAGGCGAAATAGATGTGTTGTTAAGAAGAGGCTTAGATCCGCTATCGTTTTGAATAATTGTTGGGTTTATTACGGCTTTTATGCTTTAGTAATAAATGTAGTGGCGAGACTGCATTCAAGATGCACTGGAACTAAGCTAAAAACAACCACTCTGGCTCCCTTTCCGACGATTTCGAGCAAACTGCAAATTGCCGTTTCACATCTCCTGGCTTTCAGCCCCATAATTCGGCTGATTCACTTACCAGAAGACACTCCAGACCCTGCAGAAGAAGAGTGAAGGAAATGAGGAAATGCCATAGCTACTGCTATAATTTCTTCCAATTAGGGGCCCGTGAAGGTGCGTATCTCAGCACAAAAACTGCTCTCTGACCACTCCAATTAGGTCCTTACGAAGCAGACCTGTTCCTTAAATTATGCGGAAGAAAAACTTGCTCGACTTCGGCTTAGGTTAGATTCGTTTGTAATCACTTTCACTCACGAGGCATCAGGTTTGCATCAGTGAAACGAAGCAATCTACGACTAGTATTACTATCCGGAAGTAACTTCTGCAATTAAGAACTGACTCCCGTGTGTGAGATTCCTTCCTTTGAAAAAGTTGTCAGCGTAGTAAGCGGAATGCCACTTTGTTGAATCAATCCTCCTTGATGGTTAGAAGGGGAACAAAGACGAGATTCATGCAGACGATATGTGTAAAGGAATTCCATTTAAAGCGAACACCGATCATAGTTATCTTGTGGACTCGGCACTTGCTAGGACACCTGCTCGGGAGAGTGGAAGATTCCGATCGCCAAGGTTATATGAAAAACGTAATCACTAGTTGGGCCATGCACAAAGACTTTACTGGTGCGAACCCGATGATGTCGCTTTATCCTCTCCCTAGAGTAAAGTCCTCCGGCAGTTTAATTCGGGACAACTTTTCTCAGACAGAGGAAGGCTGTCCTGCAATAGGGATCAGAGGCATTTGGCAAAAGACTGTACGAGCTTTGGCAGTCTGTACTGAGAAGCGGTGAGAGTCTGGTCAGAATCACAAAGTACCGCTAAAGTCAGGATCAGGTTACAGCTGCCTTCATGGGTAAGCTTCTGAAACTACGCAAATGTGCAAGTCTTCTTGCCGAGAGCTCGAACAGGATCCCCGCCGTCAAATTCCTTGTTGATGAGTGAAATAATGTCTACCACCACGCTAGATTACTTTCATTTTCCCATCACTGGATGGTCGTTTGCACCATGGAACTCTTATACGAGACAGTGCCCCGTCTGCTGACATGGCCAGTAACCTTTTTCAAGATTGGGGCACAATTCGCCCACAACTTATTCTGCAGATAAAATATTCCCGGCCAAAAAGGTGTTATGAGTGGGAGTTTCGTTGGAGATCTACAACTTGCGTTATTGTGTTGATTTATGTGACCCTACAAGAACTTGCATTCGAAATTGAAGGGCATTACAAGGTTGACAAAGAAACCGGCTTTGAGAAATGAAAACCTTTCACCCACCGTCCTTGCAGTGCACATCGTGGAGGCCATCAAAAAAGCTTCAAAAAAGACGAAATATAGTTGAGCAGTTTGCGGCGAGCTCTATTGTTCAAGAAAGATCTGCAAGATAAATTCATGGATTTTTTTCTCAAAGAGAAACTCTGCTGCGACACAAAATTACAGAAGAAACTGGAAATCGTGTGTTCGTCACAAAAGGCATTGATTCTGGCCATTAATCAATTTTTATGTGGCACTATTAATTTTCTGACCACACTCAGCCTTTCCCTAGCAAGCTGGTCGTGCAAGCAAGAAATTTGATTGAGGACAATGTAGGACAATAGGTCATCTTTGATATATTTCAAAACAGGTTAACTAATCGATTCTAATCGATACCGGCCCTACTGACATTGTGTAAGTTCAGCTTTANAAAGGCGACAGGGTATCAAAGTTTATGAGTTCATAACTTAAAACCAACCTATGGAGTTGAAGCCCCATAAGCCAGCAGAACTATGACGACAATCAAAAAAAAGACAAAGAAAACTAAGTAAAATAAAGTCAAATTGCACTAAAAAGAAGGTGGAATACAAAGAAAACACTTCATACATAGACAAATTAAGGGAGGTTGGATGCTAAGTAATTGAAGAGCATCGTCGTTCATCTGCGACCCATTCGTCGCTCTCACTGTCTGAGACGACATTTTAATTATGAGTCGTGAACGCTTTTGAGTAATACTGGGTTAGGGGCTGGACTACATACAATGTGGCCCTCGTTCTTCATCGAGCAAAGGCAAGAGCGAGATGTTGCTTCAAAAGATCAAACGATAAAGTCTTTAGGCATTTATCAATCCCATTTGAGGGATGCTCTCCCCGCATTCGACTTCAACTCAGAATCGTCGTAGTCGAATGCGTATGTGGCCTATACAATGGCTTGCGGTAGCAGCCGATGTACAAGTCAGTGGTTTTATCCTACCAGACGAATCTGGTACCGATTAACCGACCCTGAAGGGATGGAAGGCTTGGGGGACCTTGGCGGATATCGATCCGGGGTTCGAACTCCCAACTGTGCGGGTGAGATACTGCGCCACTTTCCATTAAACCACCACGCCAACGCATTGATTTACCTGTTTTATATATGACTTCCTCATAGTTTTTCTTTTTGCCTCGAGAAAATGTAATCTGTATATATCAAAGTGCCTAAATAGAAAACTCAGTGAGATACATGTTCCCTTCAACCGGCAATATCATTTCCTTCAGCAATGGGATGCAAAGTATTCCGGTGAACTGAAAGCGTTCAAAAAGTGGGAAGAAGGATTTTCTGGAAGTTTATTTCCTTACATAAGAAAAAGCTGTATCAAGCACGAAGACCACACGACTTAGCACAGTATTCCTTTGCAATTTTCTGATAGTCTGCGATTTTGCAGAGAAGCACCTTGATTGGGAATTGAGAAGTTCGCATGTACTCACAGAACTTTTCACCTACTTTCGTTTCCGTCGCTTTGTCCACGCACGGCTGAGGAAATAAACAGACACAGAAGTAAAACTCGTTCCGAATTAATACATCGCTTGTCAACTCTATGAGTGTGGATTGTTTGTATTTACCAAAGACTGGGCATTCTTTCATGTTGGAAGAAGGTTTAATTCAGTACTGGTATTTAATCGGTACTGAAATTCTCACCCTACTCCCGCTCCAAGTGTGAAGGCGTTGAATAGAACAAGAGCGCAGACAATGTATTAGGTTGTCGGAAAAGTATTTGCGCATTT